TAAAAAAGGAAATATTCAATCATCATTTAAAAGCATATTTGAAATCTGTAGAATAAACAGTTTTTGCAAAAATGTGGAGCATTAGAGCTCTAGTAAGTCTAAAAATAAATGTAAACATCAATTAATAATAACTGATGTTATATATATATTATATATATAAACCAATTTGTTGCAATATTCACTATAAAAGGTTGTAAGGGTAAGATGGCTAAAAGTGAATAATTTAAAGATAGTTAACATAATTTTACATAAACTGAAATATTTCATAGAATAAAATATTTGTAATATTTCGAAGTTTATGTAAGATTATGTAAAAATTATACCTTTACAACTTTTTATAGTAAATATTGCGAGGAATCGATTTATATGAGAAAAATTAAGGTAATTCTATTTTGAAAATATAAGTGACCTTTAAATAACCTTGAAAATCGCCGTTTAGGAAAAAGTCTGTGTCAACTTTTTCTTTTTCGAAATCCTGCAACTTTTATCTAAATTTAATAGAAAATGTATAAAAAATGCTCGACATTAGTACACACACACACACACACACACATATGGGTAAATTTATATAAATAGGGTGCTTTAGGAGGAATGATCAGGATTCTAGGATATGATTGTACACATCATTTTAAGCAAAGAAGTTTAGATAAACATGTTTAATAATTGTTCTATTCCGGTCATAAAAATATACAAAAATGAATGATATAATCTCTAAAAACTCACCTTTAAAAAAAGGTAAAAAAAGGCGACCAGTTAAGGGCACGCCATTAACAAAAATTATCCATTGCAAACCCATGTAGAATCCTATCCTATTGCAAACCATGTAGAATCCTATAAAAATTAATCATTGCAAACCCATGTAGAATCCTAGGCAAAATTAACCATTGCAAACTCATGTAGAATTGTATTAAAAATGATCCATTGCAAACTTATGTAGAATCCTACATTGCAAACCCATGTACAATAGAATTGTATGAAAAATTATCGATTATAAATTCATGTACAATCGTAACAAAAGTAATGAAATAAAAAAAAAATTGCGCCAAGTGAAAGTAGAAACTTGTACCAGTGGAAAATTAAAGTTGCAGACATATATAGAGTCGTATAATGAATCAGTAAAAATTTAAATTTGCAAATGTAGAATCGTACCATAAAAAACTTATCTTTTAAAAAAAAAGATAAACAAGATGCCAAGTCCATGCGCCATGTAAAAAAGAAATAAAAAAATTTTAGTTAAAAAAAACTGGGAGCGCTGCTAAATAATATTCTAACAATATTAAAATTAAATTGTTACTTTTAAACTCATTACAGTTAAAATATGTTTTGTGTTTAAATTAATTAATGTTACTTTAAGGTGCATTGTAATTTTGAAACTTAGCAGCGCGCCCAGTTTTTTTAACTAAAATTTTTTATTTCTTTTTTACATGGCGCATGGACTTGGCATCTTGTTTATCTTTTTTTTTAAAAGATAAGTTTTTTTATGGTACGATTCTACATTTGCAAATTAAATTTTTACTGATTCATTATACGACTCTATATATGTCTGCAACTTTAATTTTCCACTGGTACAAGTTTCTACTTTCACTTGGCGCAATTTTTTTTTATTCATTACTTTTGTACGATTGTACATGAATTATAATCGATAATTTTTCATACAATTCTATTGTACATGGGTTTGCAATGTAGGATTCTACATAAGTTTGCAATGGATCATTTTTAATACAATTCTACATGAGTTTGCAATGGTTAATTTTGCCTAGGATTCTACATGGTTTGCAATGATTAATTTTTTATAGGATTTACATGGGTTTGCAATAGGATAGGATTCTACATGGGTTTGCAATGGATAATTTTTGTTAATGGCGTGCCCTTAACTGGTCGCCTTTTTTTACCTTTTTTTAAAGGTGAGTTTTTAGAGATTATACTATTATACTACGATTATATTATTTCCGTCTGTATATTTTTATAATAAAATAGAATAATCTAATAACATAATAATAATAGTATTTTAATTTCAGAATTTTGCCCAACAAGGCTTTCATTTGCTTATTGAATTTCTTAGATCTCGGATATGATATTGAAGATTAAAAAATAAAGAAAAATATACCTATATACATAGACCTATATACATAATTAAATATAGGTATGTGTATAATATGATATATTACGATATATTCATCCGAATTTATTTTATACTAAACAACAATAAAAATACTTGTATTTCCTAAAAATGTTTTTTTTATAATCCTATCTGTTAGGATATAAAATCTGTAAATCTATTCCATTGTAACTTTCCTGATAATTTGCATAAACTGTGAAAATAGAATTGGTTAAAATATTAGTAAACTACATTTAAGATTTAGATTAGAATAACTCTAGATTTTGTGGAACAATCACGAGAATGTCAAAATATTGTGTCAGTGAGTAAAATAATGTAATTATTACATTCATAGTAATTAATTTTCGTACAGTTAAAATATGAACGAGAATAATTCAAATGAACAGCTGATCAATTTCATGTATTTTAGTTTAGCATAATAATATTAAGCTCTTAAATAATCGTGAAAATGTATTAAAGAAAAAATTATTACGCACTGTATATAAATAAATTATGCAATAAATAATATGATAAATCTTATAACTATAATCGACAATTTCAATACGATGTACTTTCAGTACGAGTTGAATTATTCTGTAAAATAACATTGTAGATTTATTATTAAGCTATAATATATAAACTTTATAACAAATTTAACATTAACAATATGCCATTGTTTTGGAGAGTGAGTAAACGATTTCTATTCATCTCATTCTTTTGATGTGTAAAATTGTAAAATCTCAAAGTAATGTCTGTCTCATTAAATTTAATACACAGGTAACTTTCTTGAATCACATTAATCTCTATATTAATATTTTCCCTTTCTTCTGTATTCTTTCTCTCATCTTTTTTCTCGTTTAATATTTTAGTCACTCTAAATTTATTCTTATATATATATAATATGCATATAAAATGTTGAATTGGATACTATCGCTGTTTTTTTTTCACAATATATATAAACTAAAAATTTAACATGTGTGTCCGAAAACATATTAAAAATTTTAATTTACATATTAAAAATTTTAAATGCTAAATTTGAATTATTTTAATTTATAATAATTTATAATAATTTATGCATATATAGTATTTATGTAAAATAAGCTAAAAATAAAGTATAACTTGAACTATAAAATTTAGCCGATATGCTTAAAAAATTCATAGAGAAATCAGTATGCATATATGCATTCACGCATACAACAAATTCTAAAGTTTTAACCGCGAATTCTTCGTGACATTAATGTGTAACTTTAATTGTCTAAATTATTGTTATCTTAAATTATTACGATATTTTGATATTTTTCATGTCAAAAATATTTTCATGTCTTGATATTTTTATCTTTCATTTCTTAACTTTGCTTATACTAAAACTAATTTTTTTATTTATATTAATTAATATCATTAAAATATTAAAATATTTTATTTAAATTATAATTATAATACTATTTCTACGTAATAAAAATATTTTATTTAACAGCGACACGATATACAAACATACTGATATTAACATATTTCTATAAAAATACGGAAGTTGAAATTTTATTATAATTATATGTTTTAAAACTTAATTTGATAAATCTATAATATTTGTTATAAATTTCATGTATTGTAGCTCAATAATAATGATCAACTATTCTGTGTTGGAAATACAACATAATATATCTTTAATGTGTGTATTACTAATACAAGTTATATGCGACATTAATCATGTAATTAGTTCTTCTCTGTTTAATATCAGAAAAATTGACTATAGTTATGAAATGGCATTCTATTTTAATCTAATAATAATAATAATAATGTAATTATGATGATAATGAATCTCTTCACGTATATTTTATGTATTTTAATTTTTAATTTAGAATACAATGGACACGTTAAATAAAATATAGATCTATTAATAAAATAATAAAAGAAATATAGGGTAAAAAGTAATTATATAAATAATTTAATTCGTCTCTTTTCTGTTTTTTTAAATTATCGCAAAGTTTATGAAAATATGCAACAAATTTTCGAAATAATATTTATAGAAATAAAGAAGAACTCTCGTTCATTCGCATAACTGAATATTTACATATGCAAAAATAATAATAAAACTTAAAAGTTTATATTTATTCATTTATTCTTAGAACTCAAATATTCTAATACGTTTTATAGCAATATTATACCGTTATTTGACTTCTTGAGACATTCTAATTATAATTTTTTTCTATTAAATGAATACAAATTGCTTTATATAAGGTTAATAAATTTACATATATAAAACTTTTTCTCTTTATAAGTAAACTAATTAATTATTCAATGTCCTCGGGTTTTTCTGTGCATTAGTTTATAATAACATAATACAACAAGGAAAAGAACAATTTTTCTTGTATAATATACGTATAAGTTAATATATAATACTGTTTCTTAAATATATTTTTCATTAAATTCAATTTTGTTTATTTATAATATTTCTATTTATTTTTGCACTACGTCTTTCTTGATTATATCACGTAATATAAAGCAATATATAGATCCTCTTTTCTTATATTATTATGCCATTTGTATTCATTTAATAGAAAAAAATTACAATCAGAGATAGGAATTTTTTGCCTCTTAAAACCTTTTTAAATATTTGTATCCTTTACAATTTATAATTCAATAAATATTTATTGTTTCATTATTATACATCAAACCGTAACAATGTATAACTAAAATAAAATATTCTTACTATAATACTTTGTTCCGCTATCTTCTATAATTTTTTACAAAATATATCAATTTAGAAAATAAAATTAAAAAAAAATGTATTTTTAAAATTGATTATTGCTCTATGACTCTAGTTATAACTCCAAATCATATAGTATATAAACTTTTAGAATTCAGCGTGCAAACTTTGAAAATTCAGAAGTATGGGAGATCCAACATGCTGGAATGAAAAATTTCTAATACATATATTGACTACTCCCATTAAATTTCCAATACACGCCTCTTATTCTATATACTTTACAAAATAAATTGATATGTGAAGAGGGAAAGAATCTCATCGTTATGAAAGCACGGAAATACATGTGACGTATAGATCCCGACCTTGGAATTGGAAGCAGATCTCACAAGAGCGATAGTGCATTTCTGGACATTCGCCAGAGAGTGTCGACGAAGAAAACTCACCTTCGCTTTTGCCTACATAAACGTAACACTAAACTTCGCTGGAGGAGAACGGAAAAAATATAGTTATTTAAACGATAAGAAATAAAGAATAGCCTTCGACTAGCCGATCGATTGTGTGAACACTATAATCAAGGAAATATAGCCGAGCTTATCAGAAGTGTCACGCTCGTCAGTGCCCAGTTTTGTTCGTGAAGAGAAACACGTTCTAAACATTCCGTTCACAGAAAATATATCGTAAGTATTGTTCTAATTAAATGTAATTGAACGCGTGTCTCCCGTGACTTATCGAAAGTTTCAATATTGGGGTATCCGTTCAATTTTCACGATTTCTCTTACAAAACCGGCAGCTTTATAGCACACGGTCCTAAGAGAAATGTGTCCGTAAAATGTTTCAAACGTAAAACATTATGAAAGCAGAAAGATCATTTTGACATCTGCTATATATTTATATATTTAAAATAAAAATAGAACAGATTAATATTTTTTATATTATAAATGTACATATTTGATATAAATATTTATATTTATAAATATAGAGAAAGAAATATTAATTAATTTTACTATCATCTTAAATCTTGTCTTTGTCTTTGTTTCTATGTAGGTAGAGTTTTATTTTAGAACAAACGACGTAGAATTTTTGTACGCAATTTAAACCAGCTGTGTAACAGTATGGATTCCTATTTTAATCTTGCCACACAACTATTATCAAAAGTAACGGTTGTTTGAATGTCCAAATAATTTAATTCTGTTCCAAAGAAGACATCCTATAGTCAGCAATTTTATTTCAGATAAAGACTGAGATTTGAAAAATCTGTAAAAGTTATATATAAAAGAGTATATGTAAACTATTTACAAAATATTACATAATTTATTTTGAAATATTATGTGGTAATAATAATGTCATCATGTATTAGTTATATAAGCTGTGTATTAATTCTCGACAATTTTGTTTTAATACACAGAATAATGAATATACAAAATAATAAATTCGAGCAATTAATATAATTGTATTTTATTGAAAAATATGCAATTGCGCGTTGTCGGTGTAATGCTACATTTGTATAAAGTTATGTGATTATTAAATAATTCTACTTATTTTTCTATAAATAATTTAGTAAATATTTTAGTAAAAGAATAAAATATTTTACAAGATATTTCATATTTTATGTTACAATATATCTATATTTTGATACAATACGTGTCGAATAAATTATAATACAAGTATCTCGTAAATTATTGACTTTTTAATCAATTTTTATTTGTTTAAGCTTGTGTATAATATTATATATTTATTATATTATATATTATTCATAAAATTGATATTTTAAATGTTTTATAATATACAAAATAAATCAATCTATTATAAGAAAGAAAAAATATATAATTTTATTTAAAAGAAAGCATTTTTTTTTTAATTTTGGAAGCGTCTTTACTTGAAATAAAATTACGTTTGATAACTGTAGAATATTTTTTCAGGGATAGAATAAGTTTAAGAAATATTTTGTTATAAATAACCAGTACTATTTTTAGGAATATAAAAAATTAAACTCATTATTTAGAATAATACAGATGGCAGACATAATAATAAAAAAATTGTGAATTTATGTAAATGTATTCTGTGAATCCGTAAAGTTCAAAACACATGCATTAACATGTTTTAAATATATATATATAATATATGTTTAACATTACCTGTACACACAATATAATATGATTCATAAATAAAAATTTACTTCTCGTTTCAATTGCAAATTTTGTACAAAATTTTAAATGTTCTCTATAAAGATTTATATACAATTAGAGTAGGATATACTCGAGATATATCCGTATAAAATGTCATTTTTCAGTGCATCATGATTACAATTCACAAGGGCATAGATATTTTGACAGGTATATTACGGCTTATTCTGCAAATTCTTTATTATATCTGTGAGAGCACATATTATACCTTACTTGGATCAGAAGAAAAAAACGTAGCTGGTGAAATCGTTTTGGTACGTAAATAAAATGTGACGCATTAAAAATTCGCATAATCAAACAGAGAGCTATTAATTTAAATATATTTGAAATTGACAAAGTGCGAAAATATTGATGTTAGACACATTAATTTATATACCTATATTTATTATGTTTATCCACACAAACACAATTAATATTAATTTTAAAAAAATCCACGTATTTTATCAGAACTTTATATCTATGTATGCATATGCAGAAAAAAAAAATTATTCATCACAAACAAACAAAAAATGCTTCAACAAGTGGCATATTAAAAAAAATGAAAAAGACAAATACTTAAAGCTATTTAAAATTCTTAGTTAACATTCTAAGTTGGCTATTTAAAAAAAAACTCGTATGACTTTAATATTAAATTTCAATACATAATTAGCAATAAATAAAAATTCATAAATTTTTTATAATGCAAATTGCAAAATGAAAAAAAAACATAAAAACTTTATTTTATGTGTAGTAATTAATCTCCTCATTTCTCTATATATTATGTATTATATTGTATATATTTGCAATAGATAACAGGCGCGGGTCACGGTATAGGAAAAGAATTAGCGATTCAATATGCGCAACTGGGTGCAATAGTGGTCTGTTTAGATGTGAATCAGCAATCAAATGAGAAGACAGCAAACGAGATTAAAGAAATTGCAAAAAGTGCGGTACACACGTATCAGTAAGTCTTTTGTACAATTGCGATATTTGTTTGATGTTTTAGGATACATCAGATACATATCCTGATAAAAGAATCTGGTCATTTTGACACTATAATGATCAACATTTCTTTAACTTGGCAGAATAGAGACAATAGTTTTTTTCATTATATAACAAACATTTCATTGGGCAATGAAAAATGTTACATCATTTTGATCTAACAGTAAATATCATTCAATACAAGTTCAATTTATATTTTATTTTTTCACATCACATATGTAGATATATATATATGAAACAATCGTGTGCTAATTAGATCTTAATTTTTTGCAGATGCGATGTATCTAATCGAGAACAAGTTTTTGAAGTGGCTAAAAAAATTAAAGAGCAAGTGGGCGATGTAACTATTTTAATTAATAATGCCGGTATAATGCCTTGCCACGCATTCATGGATTACACGAGCGATCAGATCAAAAACTCTTTGACATAAACATAATCGCACATTTTTGGGTATATGAATTGAACTTATACTCTATATAAATGTCAAATTAATTTGTCACTTTTGAAAGAATAATCATTTTATGCGTATCTTTGATAATATAAATATATTTATAAATACTCGAGAATTACATCATGATATAAAATTTAACTTAATCGTTTATATATTAAAAGTACGAAAACTATATATACGAATATAATATATATTACCCTCGCGAATTAATATTCAATGAGATTTTATTCTAGATGTTGCAAGCATTTCTACCAAGCATGATTAAAAAGAATTATGGTCACATCGTTGCACTCTCGTCAATAACAGGACTCGTAGGAATTCCTTATTTAGTGCCTTATAGCGCTACAAAATACGCAGTCAGAGGTAAATTTCTTTATAATTTCGTATTTAGACGTTGTAATCTATATATTTGTTTTCAATCATTTTACTTGAAATAATTGACTTAATTTGGAAAACAATGCTTCTTCAAGTGTTCTTATTTTTCAGGTCTTATGGAAACGCTTAAGGACGAGTTAAGAATATCTAGTAATGGAAAATCTTTGATCAACTTCACTACCATTTGTCCTTACATGGTTGACACCGGACTTTGCAAAAAGCCAAAAATAAATAAATTGTAAGTTTACGACAAAACATATATGCATAATACTACAATAAATAAATATATGCAATCGCAAACATAAATATAAAAAAGCTCGATTATTTCAAGATAAACAATAAATATTTGTTTCATCTTTCTCTCTCTTCCAGACTTCCAAGCTTTACGTCATTGAATTCGCCAAAATTTGTAGCTACACAAATAATTAAAGCTCAACGGCAAAACATAACAGAAATATCTGTACCAGCATTTTGGACATATTGCATCTCATTCACTAGGTAACTAAAATGCAATATCAATTATGCAATATTTAGTACAGCACATTTGTTTTAAAGTCGACAGCATCAAATGTTAAATAAATATGAAAAAAATTAATTTTTATTACCCATATAGTAAGTATTAAAAAAATTTATATAATATATTAAGCGCAAAAAATTAACACATCAAACAATCTTGCATTTTGCACACAAAATTCAATATTTTTATTATTTTAAATATATTCAAATAAATAGATATTATATAATTTAATTTTTTTCAGACTTCTACCCGAAAAAGCACACTTCTGTATAAAAGACTTTTTCGACAGCGGTGTCGAACCAGACACTTAATCAATATAAAAATTGCACAATTGCATTAAATCAAATTTTTTAAGACAGGAAAAAATAGAAAATACATCTAAAACAATTTTATCGGTTTTTGTAAGTTACTATATTGTATTGTATTTTATATTTTATTATATTTCAGTGTATTGTATTTTATCATATTACATATATATAGTACTTTTATTTTTGTTTCTATCTTCTATTTTATCATTATAATATAATAATTAATAATCATTAACGTTATATTCCATTATCTATATAAACCTTACTATAATCATTAATTTTATCGTTATTTAAACCTTACTAATGTTTAAAATATCTGAGATGATAAATGTTTTATAAATATCAAATTTTTTTTTAATTCCAAGATAAAAAGTTCAAAGTTATTCTTACAATATGTGTGCGTATAGAAAGAGCGAGAAAAACACACACAGAGTGATAATATAAATATAAAAATATTAAAAATTGTATATCAAAAGGAATGAGTAAAAAAATTCATTTTTGACTAATTCGACTATAAACATATAAGCGTTATAGCATATATTATATATTTATAAAGCACATGGTAAAACATACAGTGACAACATATACAAAATATACATTGCAAAATTTATATAAGCGATAATTATATTGCTTATATATAAATATATAAGCAATACAATTATCGCTTAACTTAAAAATAACAATAATGTGAATAATAGATATATTAATGCATATCTAAACTCGGACGCAGATACACATATGTACATATACAATATATATGTCCTCCATTTTTTCTTAAATTCAGATTTTATATATATATAAACATCGAATTATATTATACTTACTTAAATCCACAAATGTGTGCATAAAAAATATACAATATATTTAAAAAATATTTTTTGCTAAAGTATTGAAAAATCAAATTTTAAGGTATTAATTTTATCGAGAAAATCATATCCTTTCGAGCCGACTTTTGCGCCAGCAACAGAGCATGCAAATCTGATAGCTCTATGTAAAACCGTTTCATCAATAAATTTTGTTCGATTATATTCCAAATTCTCCTTTTGTTTAATTTCTTGTTTAACTACTGCGCTGCTATCAAAAGTGTCATCGCACAATTTATTAATATCATTCACACAAGCTGCCTCATTATATTTACACATAAATTCTACTTTGCTCTTATTTAAATAATATAGAACAGCTGCGTTAAATGTATCACCTGCCCCCAATGTATCAATTACACTGTATGGTGGGAAAGCTGGAGATTGTACTATCACACCACACGGAGTACGAGCAATTGCACCTTCTTCTCCCCAAGCACAAATAATGGCTCCTCTGAAAATATATTTATACCTTAGCAATATTAAACTTCATAATAAATGTTAAAATGTTAGCACATTTCTTACCTAAATCTAGTATCTTGGCCAATAGTGTGTATTACCTCCTTCATGTTGTTAAAACCTTGAATCTTAGCAAAATCTTTCGAAATGAATACCAGGTCAGCATGTGATAATAGATCTAATAATCTAGCACCTGATTTAGGATTTTCTAGCTCCATACTGATCATAATTGGCATACAATTCTTACTGTCTCTTAATGATTTATTATAATTTTCTATACACTGCGTCATAAGCAACATTTCATCTATATTTCTTCCCTAATAACATAAAATATAAATTTAGTTTTGTCTCGCTACAGAAATGTATTTCTATGTATGTCATAAAACATACTTCAAAGTGAACCCAGCTATATTCTGCCAAGTTAAGTTGTTCAAAATTCTTTACTGTCAATTCTGGTATATTTTGATTGTGATACACAATTGTACGAGTTCCAGTACTTAAACTCAATATAATAGTTGCGACAACACAGCCAAAGCCTTTTACTATGGGACAGTGAGAATAATCAATTTTATATTTGCGCAAGTCATTTTGGATAAAATTGTCATGCTCATCTGCACATAAACAAGTCAGAATCTCGCATGACTGTCCTAGCAATGATAACACGGTACAAGTATTTGATGCATTGCCCCCTCTTTGCCATCTATAGTCGATAGATCTGAAAATTATATTTATAATAAGAAACAAAAATATAAATAGAAATAAAAATATATTTAAATTGCAGAAATTAAAAGACTATGACAATTTTATATATATTAAATTATGTTTGTAAATAATTTTTAAAAATAATGAAAAATTACAAAGAAGAAAACATCCATAAAACTTTATTCGACAAAAAATAGTCGTATAAAAAAAAATACTTATAAAAAAGTATTAGAAAAAGATAATATTTGAAGAAAATAATATAGAATAATCTCATCCATAGAGGACAAATACGTTTGTAATGCAAAGAGAGATCAAAGCAAGCAAAGTTCAACACATCAAAATCTTATCATATATTTATAAATTGTCAACATTAAACTCGTCTCGTTACATTTTCTTGTCTGTTTCTTCAAGATAAAAGATGTGTACTACCATATGTATCTTTCTAATAAAAAAAAATTTTCTTCTCAGAAATTTTGTCCTACTCAGTCAGTTATGGGAAAATATGCATCGCTCTCTTTGAAGAGAAAAATTGGAAGGAAAAATCAGATCAAACTCGAGTGGCCGATATGGAATTTATACGCAGTCGTATCAAACACATATATACATACACACACACAAAAGGTGTGACCAATGAAAATTCCGTGCGCTTGCACGGCACTCATTTGAATTGGCGAGGACGAATCTCGCGCGGCCAGGATAGATTAAATAAAACAAATAATAAATGATAATAGCGCACCGACCTTTGAGTGGAGTCCTCCGCGGGAAACTGCTGACACGTGTGAACGATGTCGAGACAGGCGCGTCCCACACAGAGGATCTTCGTCACCTGAGGCACCGTCGACGAGGCGTCATCCTTGACCTCTTCGAAGACGTGATCCTCCGGGCTCGTCGTCATGTCAACGACTCGTTGATCCAAGGACGATCTCTCCCGGATGCGCACTGATCGACCGACGATTTTTGTTATGGCGCGCTTTACCCGCGTGAATATATATATATACACTTACTTGTCTGACGTCACGTCGTATATTATTAATATATGAAGTTGACCGACGAAGGGGCACGAAAAATTCTTATCTCGATTTATTTTTAGGGTTCGTCCGCATTAATTTATGCGTGCACGAAGAAATCCATCAATCGTAGACCTGAAATAAAGAATAATATTGATTACTAATATTGCAATTCTATATGTCATTCTATATATTCATGAAATTGTATAGTTTTATATATACTCAACGTCCATTTATCGAAAATAATTTTCGCATTTTGTTTTTTAATAAAATGAAAAGTTTGCGATTACAACATTATATGAAATGTCCGAAAAAATTATCCATAAATTGTAACATATCAAATACGCACAATATAAATATATAAAAAATATATATAAAAAAATATAAGAAAATAAATATTTTTATTCTCTTTTAATTTTATTACATATTTTCCATATGTAAAAATGAATAATATATATATATAAAGAACATATTAAGTAGTTAATTGTACGGTATATCGTAAAAAGCAGTTTTGACATCATTTTTGATGGCAATAATGATGCATTAATTTTGACATCAAAATGATGTCATAATAATTACTGTAGCTATTTGGGTACCGTTTGCAAATGGTAGTAATAATAGTTTAAAACTGTTTTTACAATACCGTACAATTTAACCATCTTACAACTATACGTTTACGCCATTGTAGAACACAGGCTTAATGTAACAAAAATATTACGTTATATATAATTGTTATAATTAAATATATAACAATTATATAACATTATTCCTTCTTTGAGTGGAAAATTACAAAGGAATGAGAGTATTGTTACAATTTTGTAATAATTACTTATTGTTAAATTTTGTTACACTGGAGTTGTGTCACCGTTATAATAGTTATAAAATGTGTTTGCTAGGTATGTATTTCACACTTAATTTTATTACAAATAAATTATGTTATGTAATAAAATATATTATATGTATTAAAAAATAATTTAAAAGATATTTATATATTATTTAATTTTAAAAATATTAAAAAAATATTTATGCTCTTAATATATTCATTCAAATTTTGGCGCCAAAAGTGAGTGGAGGAGTCTTAAGATGGCGATCGTGACGTGTGCACGATGGTCAAAATGCCAAGATGGCAACGAGCTCGAGGTTTTAGCGGATCGCGCGGATACCTGTTCGTTTAAAAATACCTCGCAACTTACGACGGACATTCGCATTTCCATAATAACACTTGAGCGAGGAAGGCTCGTAGGGAATAATTCGCGTCGTCGAGCACGAAACACATTTATGCGAAACACGTGGAGGCTCGAGGGAGATTCGCGCCTGCTCACGGCGGCGCATAATTCCGTGTAAAAAGAGAAAAAATTCCGCGCTTCTGTTTATGTAAATAATCACGATGGATCCACGTTTGCATAGAAGATCCGAGCCGGAAAAGGGATCGGGCGATTTGGTTAGTGGCGATTTATTTCATCTCCAAATTTCGCGTCGCGTCGCGTCTCGTCTCGTCTCATCCGCGCGTAGTCCTGTCAAAAAACAAAACAAAAAAAATTTCGACGTATCTTTCTTTCGACGAAACGGTTTTTCACGTTTTACGCATTGTCACAGTTATTGATGTCAAATCTTGATGTCAATATATGCGCAAAATGAAAGAATGTACACGCGTATTTTTGTGTTCTGTCACTCGCAAATGTCAATCAAATGTCAGTGACAAATTATTGCTAATGTTGCGAATGCATATAATGCTCTATATATATATAGAAGATATTTTAATGATTTAATAATATTTTATATATTAATGCAATTTTACGATATTCTATTCTATATTAAACTTAAGAGAGGAGAGAGATATATTATTGTTTATATCGATTCAAAATTGGTTTTCTTATTGCAAAAATAATATATTCAAGTAATCTTACAGCAATAATTGTATAAGAATTTTTTTCTTCTATTAAAATAATTCAATATATAATTTTTTAAATCTATTTTATTGTTTATATAGATTGTTGAATGGATAAATGAGGCTTCCATGAGCCTCTCTGAAGAAGTTAAGGTTACAAATATATGTAAAATACAGGAATTTTTGTTAAATAAGGAACTACATTCGTTAGAGCTTTACTTGGATGATGTTCTACAATTTTCAATAGATAGAAGTGCTGAAGTCAGGAAAACTATTACAGGATTTATCGAAGAAGCTGGGTTAGTATCATTAAATATTCATTTATTATCATGCAATATTTAAAAAATAGTTATGTTAAATATTTTCTAACAAAACTTTTTTTTTAGAATAAAACAACCAGAGGTAATTCCTCGTATAGTTCAAATACTTCTTACATTAGCATCAGATGAAACATCGGCTGTGGCTAAACGTGCGCTTAGAGCCAGTGGCAGAATTCTTAGAGCTGCTCTTAAATGGATCGCTAGTGCTTCTATTGTTACACCAGAAATGGAGTTAGCGTGGACTCAGCTAAGTGCTCTGAAAGTTCAAATCATAAATATGATTGACAGTGATAATGATGGGTGAGTAAAATAATCACAGAAATAATTTTTCATCATTTAGCATAGATCTAATATTGTTAAAATATTTCCAATTTTAGAATAAGAACACAAGCTGTAAAGTTTCTCGAAGGCGTAATCCTAATACAAACATATCCAGATCCCGACTGTCCGAAGAAATCTGATGACTTTTCTCTCGAGGATATTCCTCTAACATTAAAAATAGCTCGTAGACGAAAATTAGAAGAAGAAGCAAATCACGTTATGGATTTGTTGATTAAGTTTCATGGCTCTCCTCATGTTAGTAGTGTCAATTTAATGACATGTATGGGATCATTGGCTTTAATTGCCAAAATGAGACCACAGTTTATGCCAAATGTAATTCAAGGTATGTATATTATATATATACTATATATAAGCAATTTTGTAATACACTTGTGCATAACATTTAATGATGTAATATACAGCTTTACAGAGATTGCAACATGATCTTCCACCAACGTTATCGGATTCTCAAGTAACTAGTGTACAAAAACAATTAAAACTTACACTTCTCGGATTAATGAAACATCCTGCTAGTATAGAGTATGCTTCGACCATAGCTAAACAACTGGCTCAACTTGGAGCAAAAGATCAGGAAATTATTAAGGCTTATCCAAAACCGGAAGATGTTCGTCGAATAAAAAAGCGTCAACAGGTATGTGAGATCTCAGAAATATTTTTATTGTATCTGTATAATTTGTAATAAATTTTTGTTATGTACAGGAAGTAGCAGCTGCTAGTGCTGCAAAAAGAGCAAAGATTGAAGTGGCTCTAGTATCCGAGGAAGTAGAAACGACGTCAAACCCTCTGCCTACATTTAAATTACCAGAATTAATTGAACTCTCTGAAAGTTTTATTGCTGAAAGACTCAGTGTAGAGATTGCAACAGATTTAGTGATGGATAGTATGGCATGGGTACCAGATACTATGACAACAATATTTCAAAGGGAATATCAACCTACCGCAACTACTGATATTAATATACAACGTCAAACAATTGCTAAACTCTTGGCGGCGCAAATCAAACAGACTAAAGCGAAAAAGAACAAAAAAGACACTAAGGAGGAAGATGCTGTAATGGAAGATTTAATCAAGAACCCTACCATTACTGTAGCTGAGGCAAAGCGCGAGCGTAAACGCGAAAAAGATCGCGAGAAGGAGAAAGAAGCAAAAGCGTCATTAGAGGCTCATGAAAAATCTCTTGCAAAAGCTAGAAATCGTTTGAAGGCATTAAAATTAACTGAAGTGACAAAGCCGCTGTCAAAGGAAACTAAAGAGCGAATGTTATTGATGGCGGTCAATCGAATATTACTTTCGGAAAAGACTGCAGTTCTTGGTGGCGTAGCCGCAATAAGGTAATAACAGAATAACAATTTAGATATTAATAAACAGATTCTCATTATGGGCATTGTTTATTTTAATAATTATTTTTTTTTTACTGTATATTGCAGATCTAAAATTCTGACTACTTTGGCAGCTACTTTTAATCCTTATATTAAGGAAGCTGTACTACGTTATATTACCGATGATACGCGAAATCGATTAGATTTAGCACTGGGTTGGCTGTACGAAGAGTATGCCTTGTTGCAGGGATTTCAAAGACGGACTACACTGTGTACAAAACCACAGGAAGCTCCTCATCAAGCATACAATTTTTTATTATGCACTTTAGTATCAGCTATTGATTTAGTGCAGGGTAAAGATCGCGATACATTGTTATCCAGGTAATATTAAATTTTTTCTTTATATATTGAAATATAAAAATATGTAAAAAATAGAAATATAGATATATCAGTATCTAATCTAATTAATACATATATATATTTTTAAAATTAAAGGTTGTATCTGGAGGCACCATTAATAACCGAAGATGCTGTAGAGGCCTTAAAAATGGTGTCGTGTGACGAAACTAGAGGACTTGCACCATTGCAGCTTCTGAAAGAAATGGTAGTGCGTAGACCGACGAAACAATTGGTATTTTTAAATGTTTTATTATGCCATACTGGACATGAAAACAATACAGTAAGATTCTGAATCTTATATAACTTAATATGTATTAAAAAAAGCAATAATACTATATAAGACGTATTTCTACAAATAGATACGGGAGGCTGCGATACAATTAGTTTGCCAGCTGTACAGCAGACCAGACTTAAGTAAACTGATTGAGGAATATGCAGTTCTATATTTAGGCTTTCTGCGCCTTCATAATCCACCTGAAATTGTTTTTGGGCAAGACAGAGGCAGACCACAAATTGATAGCCAGTGGAATGAATCAACTACACGTGCTTGTTTAGGTTTATATCTTTCTCTGCTTAGTGAACATCAAGATCTGATTCATGAGTGAGTGCAATTAAACTATATTTTTTATTATTAAATATTATAAATATATATAAATTATTATTCAATGCAAACACACACATACATATACATATAAGATATATCTCTGTAAAAATGAATATCTCGGTAAAAAAATGAATATGGATGAATATGTATATTCTCTAATTATATGTTTAATAATAATAGATTAGCGAGAGTGTATACATCAATGGCAGCAGATGTGAAACGTATTGTATTAAGACTAGTGGAAGGGCCAGTGAGATCTTTAGGTATGGGTAGTCCACAATTGCTCGCACTTGTCGAGAATTGTCCGAAAGGATCTGAAACTTTAGTCACAAGGATCATACACATCCTTACAGAAAAATGTATGTTATCGATACTTATGGATAAAATATACTTTATTCGATTTTTCAAATATTTATTTTACATAATGTTTTTTATGTGCAGCTGCTCCAAGTGCAGAGTTGGTAGCCCGGGTACGAGAGTTATATCAGACTAGAGTCTCTGATGTTAGATTTTTGATACCTGTTCTGAATGGACTCACAAAAAAAGAAGTGATTGCTGCACTTCCAAAATTGATAAAATTAAATCCTATCGTTGTAAAAGAGGTAAATAATTTTTTTCATACATCATTTTATTCGCTTTTTTAAGCTTTCCAAAGAGTGTACACTAATAAATATACATATTTATATTTCTTAAAGGTATTTAATAGATTACTTGGAACACATAACAATGATAGCGGTGTCCCCCATACGTCACCTATTACACCCGCAGAACTATTGATAGCTTTACATAATATAGATCCAAGCAAGGCTGAATTGAAAACTGTTATCAAAGGTAAATCATTTTATATGCAACATTTGTTTATTCAGGAAAAAATTGTGCCTTTATATGTAAACTTTACGAATATATCTTCTCTCATTTACAGCAACTTCTCTTTGCTTCGCTGAAAAACAAGCCTATACACAGGAAACAGTCGCCGTTGTGATGCAACATCTTATGGAAATGACACCTCTGCCAACGCTATTAATGCGCACGGTTATACAGAGTTTGGCCCTTTACCCTAGGCTAAGTGGATTTGTCATGAACATACTTCAGCGTCTGATTCTGAAGCAAGTGTGGAAGCAGCCGAAAGTCTGGGAGGGTTTTGTCAAATGCTGCGAACGTACGCAGCCACAAAGTTTCGCCGTTATTCTGCAATTACCACCAGCACAGTTGGCAGAGGCGCTCCGAATGGCCAGCAACTTACGCGCTCCTTTGCTAGCCCACGTTGAAGCTTTTGCCGAGAATCAGGTAATTTCTTTGACATATTTTTACACCCACATTTAGTGTTAAACATATGATCGAATTTATTTAAATATGAATTTAGGTGAATTATATTGAAATAAAATCGCAAACTAAATATGACATTCGATATAGTGAAGCTTTAATGTGAATAATAGTAATATTCTGCATACATATGTCCCCTCCTATAATAGTTGGGGAATCTAATAAAGAAAAAGAAGAATATTCTATTGAGATATAATTTGTTCTTTTTTCAGAAAGCACATATTCCACAATCGATAATGGATGTCATACAGGGCAAAGTACCCTGTGACATGCACGATGAATTTGATATTGTGAGTAAAGATGCCTGTATATAAAGGAACAATTTTTTAAACCCTCTCTTTATAATATTATTCTTTAAAATAAACACGATACTGGAGAGACCCAAAAATATCTCCTCCATCAATTTCTTTCAGGCACCACCTGATGATTATTCGAATGATCAAAAACCAGATACAATGGAGATTGATCTTTCGGAACCAGCTCCTCCCGGTTTAGATTAGTATAAAATCATTCCAGTATTAGGATCAGAAGCATCGCCTAGCGAATATCCTAATATTTAACGAATCCGCAATGTAACTTGTACAGTAAATTATATTTTTTATTTTATTTTATTTTCAATTGCTCTGTAAGTCACGTGTATTTATGGTTACATATTGCATTGGCAATGATCCTTATTTATATAGTCCTATTTGATGCTGAGTACAATTTTCAGTTTAAAACTTTATTTATTTAGCCCTACAAATGTGCGATTGCAGAAAGATTGCAGTAATTACTTTAAGATAAAACAATAGGATCTAAACAGCAATAGTTTGAATTCTTTCTTAATATTTTCTGTAATTTTAATTCGGTATTATACATATAGTTGATTTTAAATCAATAGTATTAAAGTCTTCAGTCGTAATCTATATTTATTTCAGTATTTAATATGACAGAACGTATGAATGCTATCTAATTATTTTCATGTGTAAATAATATTATCAATAATTTCTAATAGTTTTACAAAAATATCAATTTTATATTAAAATCTCTCGAAACTTTTTTTTACATTTGAATCAAATTGTGTTGTGACGAGTCTTGATTTGCATTACGTTATAATTTTTACACATAGAGGGAAAGAAATATCAGTGTTGTAAAATTAATTAAAATATATCAGATAATATTTCATACAAAATACACATGAGCTTTACGGGGGTAACATGAAACTAAATCAGAACTAGAAAATCTTCAATTTGACATAACGATTTTTTTTATTTCTTATAGATTTTAGTTTTTTAAAACTAAAAACTTGCTCGATCATTTCGATTATTTGCTTGCTCGCTCGCGTAACATCAATTTAAACAGTCATTTTACAACCATATAAAGCCATTTGAAAATTATTGTTGCATCATATATATATATATATATATATATATATATATAATTATTGCAAAAATAATATTATTTAATTGGAATATAGAGATGAAATATAATACAATGTATATATATACATTAGTTTAATACAATTGTGATTTGTTGTATATTAATGTTGTTTGTGTATAAGAATTCAATTAATCGTAAATTAGTCTCAATATATTGCACATATATATGTATATATGTACGTTAAAAGTTATATAATATATTAAAGTTATATAAATGTATGTGTGCTCAAAAAAATTAAATACATACTCATGAGAGAGTTTAATTATAGAATTTAACACATCATAGAATCATATAAAAATATAAACAATTTAAGTAGATAATTTTTTACACATCATATAATTTTTATTGTGTATAAAAAAATAAAATATTTTTATTACATAAAAATTCTCATATCTGTCGCGTATGTATTTTTCCTTTTAAGGAGTAAAAAATATAATACAATAAAACATTAATATAGAAAACAACTTTATACATTAAAAAGTAAATTTAAATAAATGTTTAAAAAATATCAGGAAAAGAAATAACAAATTTTTTGCGGAAAAATAATATCTAATAAAAATTTCAAGAATGATAATAACAATCTATATTTAAAAAAATAAAATTATTTCCTGAAATACTTAAAATTAATTACAATTTTTATTTGCATATATTAGAAACAAGATATGTCTATATATATTCTTATAGAATATCTTACGTTTGTAACATCAACTCTAATCTCTCTCAAATCGACATAAAAAACGCCCTTTTTTTAAAGAATCAAAAATAAAAAAGAATATATATATATATATATATATTTATTATCTTATATATACATTTAAGAAAAATAGCTAAAGTATCTGCTGAGATTCAGGATTGGATAATAACGTGTTATGTAATTAGTTAAAAGTAAAAAAAAAGTTAAAAAAATAATAACTTAGCTTAGTTAATTTAAAATGTATTAATTTTTAACTTCTAGTTATTTTTTACCTTAAACTTATTAACTTTTTCCAAAGTTAAAATTTTTCATCTCTGAATACCATTATTGTTTTTTTATAAGTTATAAACGTATTACCTTTATATTAAAGTATTATTAATTTTTATGTTCATTTGTCATCAATTGTAATTACCAAAAATATATTTTTATATAAAAATCAAAATTTCTTTGTTATTTGTTACTATATGTTTTAAAAGAATTAACAAACAAACTTCTAATTTAATATAATATTTTAAAAAATTAGCTTTTGATTTAACTTCAGTTAATTTAATCTTAACTTTAACTAATTTTAAGTTAATTTTTTGTTCATAAAACTTTTATACTTAACTAAATTAATTTTGTAAGCAACTAACTTCAACTTGACTTAGTTTAAAAAAATCATTAACTTACCCAATCCTGCTGAGATTACAATATCCGCGAACGAGTGAGCAGAAGATCAAGAAAAATTCGAGCAAAATGTTTGCAACAGTACTAAAATTTTTTTCTCAATTGCATCGGAGAAAAGATGTCAGCGATCTGGTAGACTTATATTTTTTAGGGTGCCTACATAACAGATTACATCTGACATTTCTGTTTTTTTTCAACACATATAAGCTCTTAGTTTATAGCGAAAGAGATGCTTTATAAAAGTGGCCGTTATATAAGTTTTTGATAAAATTCGTATATTTACGTCACAATCACTTAGATCATTTACAAACTTTCTAACTACATTTATCACAATAAATCACCAAAATCTCTCTTCCTCGGAAGTTAGATTTACATTTATCCTGTATAGAAAACGAGAAAATACTGCTAAACGTATTCGAAAAGGGCCTACAATTTTTTAATTTGTGATAATAATTTGTTAATCTAAAATAAAAACAACATAATCAAAATTTGAATAAAATAGTTTAATTATTATCGTGGAACGATTAACATTTTGTAAGGCTTTGGCGAGATTATCAATCCGCTGGTAAATTCTGCTGTAATGGATTTTTCACCTGGTACTGGAAGTAAATTATATTTTTGCAATACTCCAACCAACAACAGAAATAATGCACTTTTTGCCAATGCTTCTCCTGGACATCGTCTTTTTCCTTTAAAAAAAACAGGAAAGAATTCTTTTATATTATATATCTTGCAAATCGCGTAAAATATATCGATCGAAATAATCGATGCACGAGAATACGAAATTTGGTTTTATAATTATAATTATAATTCATCATTTTACCACGAATAATTATAATTATTCGTGGTAAAATGATTCATCATGCAAACAATTTCACATGAATATTAACCTTTAGAGGACGGGAAGCCAATATTTTGGCTCTATAAGGGTCGCTTATTTTTCATAGTACAACACTATAATAAAGATATAAAAATTCTTATTTCAAATAATTTTACGAAAAAATACGGCCGTCCTCTAAAGGTTAATAAAAAAAACTATTTTTCTTTTAGTGGAAAAAATATTTGACTTTTTTGTTACACATCATTAATCAGTCGGAAACAAACTAAAAATAGAATTATAGCATGATACAAAAATGTTTAAGTGAAACATGGTTCTAAAACGTGAGAGGTGATAATAGCGATATTTATTAGACGTAGCAATTTTTGTAACATATATGTAATGCATTATAATATTTAATTTTTTCTCTATAATTATTATTTTTCGATCAATCATAATTAACTGACCTTTTCCGAATGGTGTGAAATTTTCGACCTTTCGACAAGCTCCATTCTCGTCCAGATGCCTTTCAGGTTTAAATGATTCTGGATCGGGAAATAATTCTTCATCCATACTAATACTATGAATATTAATTAAAACAGTGGAATTCTTTGGTATCGTGTAACCTTCAAGAGTTGTATCGTCAAGGACACGTCGTGGACCGATAACAGGTGCCACCAGATATCTACGCTGAGTTTCCATAAGTACAGCTTCAGTAAAAGGCATTCTGCAATTTAAAATTTAAAATTCATCATTTTGCAAAAAATACATGAGAATAATAAGTTCATAAAAATGCTTTGAAAACAATTTGTTCAACGTTTGTATCATAAAAGTTTTGTCACACATTATTACTTGATTTTATCCTCTATATGTGGAAATCTGGAACCGATTATAATATCGATTTCCTCTTGTAATTTGCGTTGCACGTCCTGATGATTGGCCATTTGCAAAAAGAGAACTTCTAAAGTCGCTGTCGTGGTTTTTGTTCCAGCGATGAAGAGATCGATCAGTGTTACAATGAGATTCTCGTCTCAAAAGAAAGCAAAAAATATTTTTAAAAATAACACATTTATCTTCTTGGTTCGCAATTTCATCGTATAAAAGTAATATTTCGCGTACATTTTACTGCTTTAAATTAAATCACGGAAGAATATAGCCGCAAAATTAAAATAAGACTATTGAAAAATAAGCTTGTAATAAATAACACTAAAGTTTTATATGACGCGGTGTATTTGAAGTTTTTATTAGAGATGTGCGAACTCGAATCGAATCGAATCTGGCAATATTCGATTCGATTCGGCGATATTTTTGTCGATTCGATTCGAATTAGAAAATCTTGATTCGCACATTTCTAGTTTTTATATATGTAATTGTGAAAAGATATATGGTGTTCTTAATGTCATTAACAATAGTAATTAGACTGGTACCTGAAAACACAGTATTCTTATCTTTCTGCGTCAACATTTCATGGAGAAACATATCGATAAAATCTTCCTTTTTTCCTTCGATAAATCGTTCTTTGTGTTCATTAATAGCTTCCTGAATGTTGGAGACAATTGTAATTTTAAATCGTAATAATTTTACAAAACGCTAAAATTAAGAGCTACTAAAATTACATTACCATTAATAAACTCTTTAATTCATTATTAATTTTAACGAGGAGGCTGTATCCCGATTTCTCGGGAAAGACAAAACGAAGCCAAGGAAAAATGGACAGAACTCCACCAAACATATCGAAAATGACTGAACGACGTTGCATCAGATTCAAAAAATTCTGTAACCTGTAATCAGTTACAAATTCAATTATTCCGCGCTTTCTCTTTACACACATAGCAAACACAGTATATAAATGTTATATACTCAAGCATGTTACATGTAACGTATATGTTAGTTGTAATTTCCCACTTATAGATGTAACATTTTTAATATTACATATATTACATTGTAGTTATATTGTCATTATATCCCAAGATAGCACTGACTTATCAATACATCAATGTGCTATTTGGTATATAATTACAATATAACTACAATGTAATATATGTTATATTAAAATGTTACATCTATGAGTGGGAAATTACAACTAACATAGATGTTACATGTAACGTACACGTTATATTACCTATTATATTCCGTTTTATTATAGCAATGTAACAATTATATATCGGTGTTTGCTGAGATGCGGATCAAAAATGTGTGAATTCAAGCTTTTTCTAGAAATTTACAATAGTTGTTAAAAGTGCTACCTCTGATCCTGAGAGAATCGCTTTCCTGCAATTAGGATCCAAAGTACGTTTATGATGGTGGGTGCAATTATAGTTTGTATATCTTGCACGCCGCCCTTTTTCAATTTCTTCAGGATGAGTTCCAGTTCATTCAAAAGAAGCTCCATTATTTGTTTTTGAGCAAATCCAGCATTTTTCAAAGCGTATACAGTCCAGCTGCGTAGCTTTTTCCATTCTGGACCGTCATTCATGGTGATCCCTAATCACAGTGATTTTAATTAATCGATCACCTTCTAAAATTTAATTAAATTTTAATGTAGTGAGTTTTAATCGAATTTTGTACCGCTTCTCATTCCCATATTTCGTATTTTTATAAATTCATTCCAAGGCCGGCCATCATACTCTGTTTGGCTTAATACTTTGTAAATTGATTTACTATTCGAAACAATAATTGTGTCGCTATCACCTAAGCGTAGACTAATGACATTGCTATTATATTGTTTGGAGAGTTCCGAGAATGCCAAATGTTGTCCACCAAGTTTTTTACATAATTTTTTAAAATAATACATATTTCCAATGAATGGCCATGGAAAAGGACCTAAAATTTTTTAAAAGTAGACACAGAAATTATCATTTTGTAGTCATTAATTTTTTTAACATAATCCGAGCTTGTAAATTTCTAAATAATCATTATTTTCAATTTTTGCGAATTTAGAAAATATGTTTATTTAATATTACGCGTCTAAAAATATTTAATATTTAATATTTTATAATATGACGAGTTTTAAAAAGATATAAGACATGCATATATAAAAACAAACATGATAATACTGAAAAAAATTATTATTAAAAAATTGCCAGTATTGTTTATTAATTAAAACAATATGTAAAAGTTATTACAATTCATACGAATCATTTTCTCAATCAAAAATAACTTTCAATCTGTTATACAACAAAAATAAATTTCTTTATTAAATAAATATACTTTAAACTAATATATTCTGTTATATAATAAAAATGAATAAAAAAGCTTATTATATATGATAACTGATTCAAATAACTGATTGTGATAACTGTGATAGATATTTTAATAATTAATAATCACGGTAGGATACACGATATAATAAAAATTGTTGCATATAGCGCAATACAATTTTCTCTGATAAAAAAAATCAATAGAAAATACTAAGAACCGATAAGATAAAAAATATTATCCTTTCCTAATCTAATGTTTTACTTTATATATTTCGAAAGACATATCGTTATTAAAATAAAAATTGTTGCATATAGCGCAATACAATTTTCCCTGATAAAAAAATCAATAGAAAACACTAAGAACAGATAAGATAAAAAATATTATCCTTTCCTAATCTAATGTTTTACTTTATATATTTCGAAAGACATATCGTTATTAAAATAAAAATTGTTGCATATAGCGCAATACAATTTTCCCTGATAAAAAAATCAATAGAAAACACATAATCGATAACCTTCTAAAATTCTAATTAAATTTGAATGTAGTGGGACAAGAACCGATAAGATAAAAAATATTATCCTTTCCTAATCTAATGTTTTACTTTATGTATTTCGAAAGACATCGTTTCTTATCGTTTCTTTTTATTTTCTGTTGAAATCGGACTCAGTCATTAGAATACGATAAAATTTTTGTAGTATGATATATTGCTTTTTATCGTTTTGTTGGAATTTATTGAAGAAAATAATTCAAATTTTATCGTAATCAATTTTATAATTCATTTAAGATTCTTATTAGTTTGATAAAGTATTTTAAGAGCATCGCGTTAAATCATAAAAAATAACAATTATAAGAAGTATCATAAGAAAAAATAAGAATCATAAGAAAAATCACAAGAAAAATTAAAAATTTAACAAGTATTATTTATATATAATTTGCCAACATTCATTATTTGTAAACATTGTTATATATTATTTTGCACTTTCGTGTTACACAATAATTTATTTTTAATTTAAGAAATAGCGATTCTATTTGTCGAAAATTGCATCGCAAATTGCATTGATTAGTCATATATTGCTATATAGTGTGATAAGAAAAGAGTTGACCTTTGTTTTATATAAATAGTGATCATTTAACTCATTCTATTCACAAACGCGCAATTTCATATATATAAGTTTATCAATAATGACAATAAAAATAACTCATGTTAATTAATTTAATACATTATGAATAAGACATGTTATATTAAATGTAATTGACCATTTATCATTTTGATTCATCATTTATTGATCACACTTTTAATGCGAAAGAAATATTATATAAATCTAATAGTGTTTATATAACAAGATAAATGAGACGTAAAATAAGTCACATCTATTCATAATATATATATATATATATATATATATATATATATATTATGAGAATGTATTTTATGTATGATTTCTATATTATATATTTGTATATGATTTATACGTGCTCAATTGATGTTAATAATACATAATTATGTTAAAAAAATGTTTTATATGAGGAAAACGCGCTATATATATTCATGCGATACGTTTTTGCATTTTGACAAATAAGAGAGAACTTCCTATACACTCTGTCAGCTATTATTTCCACTTGTCAACAATTTTTGTTTACCTACTCGATACAGGATCGGAATACCCGAAATATATGTAGATACTTGCAGTGCATAAAATATGAATTTTTTCCCGAATAGAATAGAGATAATTTTATCGGTAAAAAAAAGTTTTAAAATGTACAGCAAATGTTTTCGTAAAGAGCTTTTTCGAAAATTATGAAAACTTAATATACATTTTTTTGAATAATCTTTTAATAAACTTGTGCCAAAATATATATTTTCCGATTCATCTCAAAAAGCGGCTATTAATGCATATATATATATATATATATATATATATATATATTCAAAAAATACAACATATTATATTTAATAATATAAATAATTAAAAAAAATTTAATTATATAATTCTTATTTTTTCGTATATAATTCTTATTGTTTCCAATAAAAGATTAAATGCTTTGTAAATATTTTAACTTAAAGAATGTATACAGAATTTAAAAGAGTTTGTGTTATTAATTTTGCAATTTTATTTGACCTCCGAATAATAAATTGCATTTAAGAAAAATAAGAAAATCTACAATTTATATTTTAGTTCAAAAAAGGGAAAAAGATAAATGTTTTATGTTATGTATAAAAGAACGAAAATGTTATTTTTTGTACATTACATATATTATATATTCCTCAAATATTTATAATAAATAAATAAATAATTAAATTATTTAAAATGTACGCAATTTATTATTACCTTTATATTAATTAAATAAAAAAAATTTTTTTCTAATTCTCTTATTCTTTCTGTACATTATATAGGGAAGCAAAAGAGAAGCAAGAATGAATAACTTTACCTGGTGGATAATTTGCTGGATATTTCAATTTTCGTTGCATTACAATGATAAATAAAAGAAGCAAAATTACCAAAATCAACATTGTTATCATTGTCTCCCGGTTCGATTTTTTTCACTTTATTTAACTCGTAATTGTCAGACGTTTCTTAGAATAGATTGCTGTCTTCTGCTCACTAGACATAGAGACGAACGGAAATAAGTGGGCTTTCGGGCTTAAAAGATTGAATTAGTCAATTGACACGCGTCCACATGCAGATAGATCACCTTCAGATAGTGAGAAAAATTTATCATTAAAATCAATCAAAGTTTTCCACACTTACGAACTCGTATTCAACTTGAAAGGAATTTACCGACCCGATTTTCACGATCACTTTTACTTTATGTAGGTCCCGTCTCTGACATTATATTTAAACGCGCATGATCAATCGCGCTCGAATACGAGATCGACTTGTGACATCTGAATATATAGGGCTGGACGGAGTCGGAATTACAGCGAGATATGAACTTCCGACATTTAGTCACGGCCAATACAAACCTGCTTTTAATGAACGTTCAGGAAGTCTCTCTTAACGAGAACAAAACGGCGGATAGTTTACATTTGAACATTTTGGCGTAAATGTAAAATATATACAACAGTTAGCGATGATTGCATATTAAATTGCATATATTAATTAACATATATTTGAATAACATATATATTTAACATATATTTAAATAATAATAACATATATATTTATTAAATCCCGCACAGCATTTTATATTATTTATTATAGATATGTATACCCAGGCAGCAAACTGACGTCATTAAACGTCATTTTGACGTTATTAGACGACAGAATGACGTCAGTTTGCTAATTGAGTATATACTCAAGTAACAATAAACTGACGTCAACCCAGCTTGCTACCTGGGTACATATGCATACAATAAATTAATACATTATGAATAATGTATTAGACATGTTTAATAATGTTTGCATTATAAGATATATGTAATTTTTATACGTTACATCACAGATACATATGATAGTATATATTTGACACGTGTTAAATACGGAAATTATACTAAATTATAATATGCGTATCTATTGTACATGTATTGCAAAATACTCGGTCAAAATTTATCGCATTATACAATATGCGATAAAAAAATATCTTGCGATAAATAGATATTTTTTCAAAAAAATATCTGAATTTCTGACATCAGAATTCAGATATCTTTTGAAATATAAAAATGTAAGTTAATCTCTGACCTTAACACAAGAGAGAATTTCAAGAGTTTATATTTTTCAAGAATATTATAATATATATAAAATATCAGTTAAAATTATATTAATAGTGATATAAAATTAATCAAAAAAATATAAATTAGAAAGTTACCCTTATAGAAATGTATCACTCGTAAGTCCAAATAATCACCTAGCAAGAAATATTTAATCAACATTTGAAAATGTTGATTTTATAAAAATTTTCTAAACATTAGGATATAATGTTTTATAAATATATTTAAAATATTATTAATAAATATTTAAAAAATATTTTAACTAATGTTTTATAAATGTTTTAATTAAAAATATTATTTAATAACATATATTGCTCTCAAAATATTAATAAAATATTTTAAAAATGTTAATTTTCCTTATAGAAATTTATCACTAGTAACGTCAATTTATCACTTATTTCGAGTACTTAATCACTTATTTCGAGTACTTATTCGAGTTACTTAAATTACTGTATATCAGTATTTTAAGTACTCGAAATAAGTGATTAATTGGCGTTACTAGTGATAAATTTCTACAAGAATTTAACGTTACCGAAACCTTAAAATATCAAAGTTTATTCATAATAATGTTGCATACAATGTTAAAAACTACATACTTGACAACAATATATATAATAATGATTTTTTGCTTACTGGAGCACTTATTATTTCGAATACTTTGTATATCGCAGTAATTTATTAAGTATTCGAAATATTCGGACTTACTATATAGTGATAAATTTCTATAAGGGTATATATTATACATAAATTCTTTATCTAAAAATTTCTATCAAATTTTGTAAACAAAAATAAAAAGTGTGTATATATACTATAATAATTAATAAGTCTTTAATATAAGTTTATTCGAATTCGAGATAATAAAATATTAATTCGATTAGTACGTAAATAAAGAAAAAGGCGATATAGAGATATTTATATTATATTAATGTCTATTCATTTATTTAATATTGCATTTTTTCTAATTTTTTATTTTTTACACCCCTCTATATCTCAGTCTTTCTTTCTCTTCCAGGTAGCAAGCTGACGTCATTTTAACGTTTAATATGACGTCAGCTTGCTACCTGGATTTTTATTCCTAATAAAATATACATTAAATTATTAATTTATATACATTAATGTATAATTAAATATACATTAATTTATTTTAGAAAGTGTAATTAAGATAAATACATTACCGGCAGTCTTTTCCGAAGTTCAAGAATTGAGAATAGAGTTTTTGTAGAGCGTTAGAGCAAACTCCGAGCATTTTTTGATTGATTGATATTTTCTATTTATTATTCCTGCCGCCTGATATTGTGCAATGGACTATATATGCGTATAAAGATAAAGTATAAACATATATGCATAAAATGAAAATATGCGCTTTCCATTTTTCACTCTCTAAGCGTGATCATGTGATTACAATCATAGACGCGATAAAATACGTAAACGGGAATACTTAAATCCTGCGATGAGAGGAGAATTTGCGATATATCGAAAAATCGATTCTCAGTTTGCTAGTTACTTTTCCGAATCAACCAATCGGATGCCCGGATTTCGGGACAAATATCGATCAGCTGATTGTTTTCACCGACTGCAGATGTCGCTTCTCTATTTGACATCTACGTTGACATTTCAGATTCAAATGCGAGGGAAAAGAATGACGGTTATCGACGAACTCGCGAGAAGTGTCTGATTCGATGAAATTGAGTGTTGTGCTCGTGTTATTTTGTGAGTAACAATTCGTTATAAATTCTTGAATAAATACTGATAAGTTTCCTTTTAATTTAATATAAATTGAATACCTATTGTTGCGTTTTAAAACTTGTTTTATATCCTTGGATGGATCTTGAATAAATACCAGTAAGCTTTCCTAATTGTTTTGAAGAGAAAATTACAGAGAAAATGATAGGGGATTCGTTAATTTATCATAATATTGAACATTTTATACATAACAATAAACATATTATTATATTAACAAATTTTATATTATTTATACGCAAGTTTTTTCACAAATAATATTACAATTAATCTTAATGGAGAAAGGAGTGGACAGAATTTATATATATGTATTATTTCTTTTTTCAGTTACATACAGATATTTTTCACAATGGAAAGTGGACAGGCGTTCAAAATGCCATCAGTTGTAACTAATTATAAAGAAGCTGTTCAAGAAATATGTCGCAAGATGGTTGATCATGTTCACAAAAGGGGCAAAAAGTATATAAAAATATATTACTATTGTAATATTTTACAAGAGTTTAAATTGATGCTTTTATGTCTTCGATATTAATAGAGGATTCTTAAATATTATAGAATTTTGTTTATGAATCAATATCAAATTAATAATATTTATTGCCAGACTTTAAACTTGTTCGAGTAATTTCATATAGGATGGATTTGCTAAAAATATATAATTATTGGATAATTAGTCTGTTAAATATTTACACAATATTTTTATCATTAAATAGCCATCAATGGACCTTAGAAGATTTCGAAATTGGAGCACCTTTAGGGAGAGGAAAATTCGGTCGCGTATATCTAGCTAGAGAGAAAACTACTCATTACATGGTTGCTTTAAAAACATTGTATAAAATTGAATTGGTAAAAGGACGTGTGGAAAAGCAAGTAATGCGAGAAATTGAAATACAAACACATTTAAAGTATGTACAGTGCATTCTGAAATATGTGTATACAAATATTTGTTTAGATAAATATTTACATTTGTACATTCTATTACAGACATCCAAATATTCTTCAGTTATTAACGTATTTTCATGATACTAAAAGAATCTATTTAGTTTTGGAATTTGCTGCAAGAGGTGAATTGTATAAGGAATTAAAACGTCAGCCAAATGAGCGATTTAACGAGCACTTGTATGTATTTATAATTTTATTTCTATTGCTATATATAATTTATAAAAAAGATATTCATATTATAAATATTTTGTCAGATCTGCTAAATATACTTACCAAGTGGCCGATGCTTTGGATTATTGTCACAAAAACAATGTGATTCATAGAGATATAAAGCCTGAAAACTTATTGCTCACATTTGACGGTGATATAAAACTTGCAGACTTTGGGTGGTCTGTGCATGCACCATCTTCAAAGTAAGTATAAAATTTACAGTTTTCTTTAGTGTAGTAGCTAGTACTTTGTGCAACAGGCTTTGCTATAGTTTCAAAAACATTATTTATTTCACAATAATCAAAAGAGTAGATTTTGTTCACATTTAATGAGTCAGATTAATATCAAGAAATTCTATTTTTTCAGACGAAACACCCTGTGTGGAACTTTAGATTATCTGCCACCAGAAATGGTTATGGGACATACCTATGACATGTATGTTGATCATTGGTGCTTAGGAATTCTCTGTTATGAATTCCTTACAGGAAAGCCACCTTTCTTAAGCAATAGTCAATCAGAAACATATGCCAAGATAAGAACTGTAAATATAATTTGGCCAGAGGAAATTAAACCTGGGGCCAAAGATCTGATATCTAAGGTGACATTTATGTTTAATAGCTTTATGTTAGAAATTATATAATATAAAGATGTATATTTAATTTATAAATTTATCTCTACAGCTTATCAAAAAAAAAAGTACAGAACGAATTTCTATGGTTGAAGTTAAGACACATCCCTGGATTAGAGAGCACAAAGATTCATCTAAATAGTTTGAATAAACGGTATGAAAGATTATTAATATTAAAAAACATTTTGCGTTCCATAATTTTTTTGCAATTTTTTAGTTAGATACAATATCAAAAGTATGTTTATATGTCAAAAAAATGAAAAATATTGACAAGTGTCAACAGATATACTTTTTACATAATGTTTTTAATAGTATAGCGTATAATATTTAAAACCGTCAACGGGAATGTCATACATTTTCAATTTATTTTGTAAATTTGTTTTTAAAACATTCTGGATTTGTGAATATCAATTAAATTCTTTCTTAGATATCATCTACAATAACAATATTTATGTTACAAATTTAATAAAACTATTTTTGATTGAGATTCATATTAATACGAATCTCAATCGAAAATAGTTTTATTAAATTTGTAACATAAATATTGTTATTGTAGGATCAATTTTCTTGGATAATAATATTATCCAAGAAAATTGTTATTTATTGCTTTTTTAAAACTTTAAATAAACTTGTTTATATTGTAAATTTGCACAGCAATAATTTGGCATACCATTCAAATATAAACGTCTTAACAATTTGCAATTAGTTTTATTTTCACAATTATAATTTTTACTTATGCATATAGAGAAAATATTGTAAATTAGCCAAAAAAAACGCATAAAGTATCTATTATATGAATTTCAAATTTAATATAGTAAATTTTTTTTTATTTTAAACAAATCTTATCTAATTAAGTGAGCAATTAGTTGAATCATTTTTATACTTTTACAACGTGAGTTAAACTAATACAACTTTTTATATAATGATATAAATCTGTTTGTAAGTTATTGTTATATTATAATCATTACAAATATACTTTTAAATTTTAAAACTTCAATATTATATATAAGTGTTTAACATTCATAGCCATAAAGGAACAAAACATTAAAGTGAGAAAACAATATTAATAAACAATTTTAAATTGGATAACTATATTTTTTATTTATAATATGTAAATTAGCCCCAAAATATATAAATTCATATATTTTATATTATAATCTCTATATCTCATATCTATAAATATATGCATTTGTATAAATATCTATATATTTTCATCAAACAAAATGTGTATGAAAGCAATACTTTTAGAAAAGAAGATTGGAATACACATCTTCAATTATTTGATCTATCAGATTTTTTACCAAAAGATAGTTATCTAATTAAGTGAGCAATTATTTTTTTACTTGTTGCGCACATATATGCATATATATATATATATATATATATATATATATATCATAATATATACATATAAGCATATATGATATAGCAAAGCATTATTATATAGTCATGCAAACTTCTTTGGAAATTACTATTACATTACTACATATATAAAAATAATATAATCATTAATTCAGACACATTACAATAATATAAAGAAAAGAAATATTGCTGTATTGCTTATGTGAAGATTAAAATTAACTACAAATCAGTCTTAACATTAGATATATGTATATATTATGCTTTGGTAAATATATCTTGGAAGATGTAATATTTCTGCATGTAAAATTAATGTAAAATATAACTGAACATAATATCACATGAAAATAATAAAATACTTTATGTTGTATATATTGTCATACTTATATATATATATATATATATATATCTATATGTATATATATGATTTTTCTTAAAAAATATAACATATATACATATGTATATATATATATATATAATAGTATATATAAAATTATTATACATACAAAAAATAGCTTCATATAACTGTTAAAGAAAATATTAGCAGAAAAATTTAAAAATATCTTGCTGAGAAAATACTACCAATAAGAATTTTAGAAATATTGATAAAAAAACTTTTAATAAGTAAAATTTGGAAAAATTAATGTAATGTATATATATATAACAGTATATATAAAATCATTATACATACAAAAATAGTTTCATATAACTGTTAAAGAAAATATTAGCAGAAAAATTTAAAAATATCTTGCTGAGAAAATACTACCAATAAGAATTTTAGAAATATTGATAAAAAAACTTTTAATAAGTAAAATTTGGAAAAAATTTTAACTGGCAGTTTTGATTTCTGTGCGCAACAAGGAACACGTATTTGCACAAAATATCACAATCGCATCAAAAGAATATTAATAAAATATTACTTTGTAACATCATGCAAAATCAACTCCAGTGTCTAACAAATCTCGCAACATAAAGGATGCCTTTTTTGGAAGAATCCTGAAAATATAAAAATCGTGTCAGAATATCATTCATCTATTATTTCATATATAAATTCAAAAAAAAAGGACGAAAATACCTAAGGACATGCCCAAGATAAAGCAGATATCCTGGTACACTAAATTCTGCATAATTTCGGCGAACGCCATCTAAAATTCGTCTAGCTGCTTCTGTGGCAGACATTGTGCCAAAGTAACTTGGTATTCTGCAAAACACGTTTTGAGAAATTAGAAAAATAAATAATTACGTGATATATAATGATAAAACGATAAAAATTATATTAATTAAATATACGTCATTTACAAATGTTCGCTACCTAAAACGTATATCTTTCGCAGCTTCTGTTCCAACAATAAATGGATAAACATGAACCAATGAAACAATGATATTGCTATTTGAATGTCTCAATTCCATGTATAAGGACTCTGCTAATCCTTGTACTGCGAATTGAGCAGTAGATAAGGGAACCCTGGTACCACGACCACTCGATCCATTGGAAAGGCCAGCAACAGAAGACAAGATTGTGATGTGACCTTTGCCAGCACGTCGCATACAAGGCAAAACTGATTCCAACAACTAAAAAAATAGGATTATTAATTATGCTTGTTCCTCCAAAGATTTTACATCAAAAGAATATTTACCCAAAAGTGACTAATGATTGATAAATCTATAATGTCCTTTACTTCTGATGCTTGTACTAATGTACGTGGACTGGGCAACCCGCAACAGTGGAAAAGCATCGTAATGTCTCCCAATTCATTCTTAATGAGATTCACTGTTCGAGCAACCTATTTATTATCAATAACAAATGTCAGTAGAAATAAGGCAATATACTTGGAGTTAGAACTAATATAATTTAAGTGATATTATGTGACTTAATAATAATAGAAATATACATACTGCCTCCTTGTCTCTCGCATCACACTGGTAATTCTTACATATTCCATGTAACTGTCGAGCACTTTGTACAGTGGCAATGCAAGTCTCGACATTAATATCTATGCAAGCAACCGCAACGCCAAATTGACACAACTGTAGAGCAAGTTCTCTGCCTACTCCACGTCCTGCGCCTACAATCTAAATTGTAATACTCATTATAGTAACAAAATTTGAATTTATCATAGTTAATTATACATCCAGTTATATATATATATATATATATCAATATTATACCATAGCAACTTCAAAATTAAGATTTTTTAAGGGTGGTGGTCTAAACATTCTGTAGATTGCAATTAGGATTGCGCAGAAAACTCCAATAAAAAGCATTACTAGATCCAATGCTAGAACACATAGCGAATATATTCTGAGCAGCATGTCTGGTGGCTAAATATTTCTCTGCAAAGAACAAACACATTATATAAAATTTTTAAGGAAACATTTCGTAGAAATATAAAATGCATTCCCAATAATATAAACTTTACTCATACCATCTCGTTGGAATTATCTATTAGTTCTAATTAATTATAAAATATAAGTTTTTCTAATTGCAATAATGTGTATACCTTATAAATATATGTGTATATATATATATGGATATGTCAAGCGAAGTTTATTGATAACGCTATCGTGTCGCCGATTGTGCTAGGATACCGGACATCATCCTGAATTCTCCCGGGTTATCAATCACAATTTTTATTATCAACACGAGATCGTTGCGTGCATAGATAATATAAAATACATAGACGAAACATTAGCTCTCAAGGCAAACGTGACGGAAGAAGGGGCTGGAGAGATTAATTAAAGTAGACGCGGCGGGATATATCAAAAGATATGCGATCATATTAAAATTTTATAATTTCCTTCCATAGATTCATTTATTTATGTATTTTATATATTTATTTAAATATACATATATTTATATCGACATTTTGATAAAATAGTATTATTCAACATAAAGCAAACTGAAAATATATGTCTATCAGAGAGAAACCATTTGTTTATATATATAAATTTGTAATGCTTAAAAATGACATAAAAATACTCGAAACAAAAATTGTAATAAAATATATTGAGAAGCAAAAGCGAGAACACAAATTGAAAAAAAAATATGAGACGACGAAAATAGTTATAAAACGTATATTTTTTATAATATTATAATATTTATAATAATTAACTTTTGATTTTCAAAATTTGATATATATATATTTCATTTTATATAAAAAATCGTAAAAAAGATACAAAGAGAATCGAGATGCGAGAGAAGAGAAAATTTGACATTATATTATTTTATTTCTAGCAAGAGATTATTTAATATATTTTAATATATTTAATATATTTGAAACAAAAATAATTAAGGATATTGTATAAAATGACCAACTGGTTAGCGATGGATAAGTTCTTTATTTAATCAGCATAATAAATAAATGTTTTAACCTCAAATTGAAAAATATATAATATGATAACATATAATATATATAGAATCAATTACAGATATTAATTACTCTAAAATATATTAAAATACATAAAAATAAACGCAAAAATAATAAAATAAACTAAAATGATAAAATAAAAGCAACTATCAGCTGTTTTATTATTTTTGCGTTTATTTTTATGTATTTTAGTGTATTTTAGTAATTAATATATCTGTGTTGACTTTTATATATGTTATCATATTAGAGAGAACACTCAATTTGGGGTCGAAACGTTGCTGATTAAATAAAGAACTCACCCATATCGCTTGGTCATTATTTTCTTATGCAATATCCTTGATTTTAAGTTTATTGGCACTTAATTAATTGACTTTCTTCAAAAATAATTAACACATGATATTTTATCAATAATAGCTCATTTGATATGATATTTTTTTTTTTTAATTCCGCAATTTCAACTCGAAGAAAAAAATATCGTGTATATGGGTCTATCTCTCTTTAATCTCTTTTCTTTCATTACTACGTCATGTACATATGACGTATAAATCATCTGCGCTTGCGCTTGATTTTCTACGAGAGGAAGGAATTTCGCATAACTTGTCAAATTGAAGAAAATACAAAATGTGGTACGAAATAATTCCCCCGATGATTATTATAGGCTTAGTACCGGTTGTACCTCAACTTGGGGCTTATTATATAAATCAGTATTTCCTGGGAAACGTAAGTGTTCACATTTTGTATAACATAACCTTGCAACAATTTTACATAAAAGGATTGAAAAAATAAAATAATTTAATAGTAACACATGTATATACATATATATATATATATATATAAATATATATGCAATAATTTTTTTGAATGTGAAACATCCCAGCAAACATAGTATATAAATGTTATATACTCAAGCATGTTACATGTAGCGTATGTTTGTTGTAATTTCCCACTCATAGATGTAACATTTTTAATATTACATATATTACATTGTAATTATATTGTCATTATATCCCAAGATAGCACTGACTTATCAATACATCAATGTGCTATTTGGTATATAATTACAATATAACTAAAATGTAATATATGTTATGTTAAAATGTTACATCTATGAGTAGGAAATTACAACTAACATGGATGTTACATGTAACGTACACGTTATATTACCTGTTATACTCCGTTTTATTATAGCAATGTAACAATTATATATCGGTGTTTGCTGGGTACGAACAAAGAATTGAACAATAATATTGAATAAAGATCACTTAATTTGCCAGAGTTGGTTGATTAAATTACTACCATTTTTTAATTATCATCTGGTGACTTCACAGTTGTTTACATCTTTAACAAGCATATGCTTGAGAAGCATATTTAATTAACAGTAATGTTTAAAAGATGTAAAAAACTGTGAAGTCACCAGATGATAATTAAAAATGGTAGCAATTTAATCAACTCTGGCAAATTAAGTGATCTTTATTCAATATTCACGACGGTTTGGCCCTTATCAAGTGCTATAATATATAATAATGACAGTAATGTTTAATTTGTGGAATTTGAGGAATTTATCGAGTACTGAATTCAGTATATCTTTACCGAATAGAATTATATATTAATTATAAAACTTGTTTGTGAATATTAATTTTATTATTGTTGTGCGCTTTTTGTGGAAATATGTCATCTTTTACTTTCATATTACTTAAATATATATGAAAAATTATATTAGAAAACAGTATCAAATACATGTAGTTTAAAATTGTAATAATTCTCTGCTTTTCTCTTTGCAGCCAATGCGAAGGGACATGAGAGACATTTGGGATCGCCATATGTTTACAAGAGATTGTCGCATTGATGGAGCTCCATGGAAAAACAGGGTAATTTATTAAATATGATACAATTATGTAAGATGCATAATTAGTCTACTTACATCATTAATAAGAACTAAAGAACGTAAGTATATAATGTATATATATATATATATATTCATATTTATAATTGCTCTTTCACAGGGTCTAGAGAATATTCCTGATGATTAAGAGTACAAATAATAAATTAATATAAAATCGCAGTAATGGTGTATTAAACCATTAGTTGGGATATATGTGTCAGCTATTCAATATATTATAATTTACATGCAAAGTGTATATATAATATATGAATATATTCTACAACATTATATAAAATACATGCCATTTTTCTCTATTTTTGATTTATATATGTAAAAACTAAACCATAATTTTAAATTTTGCAGGCATAATGGTAATATTGAAGAAGAGCTTTGTCTTTTCTAATTTTAATATAACAATTTTAATATATACAGATTCGTATTTTATACATAAAAATATACAATATTATAGTTTCGGAGAGAAGAGGATGGAGCTCTAGTTCAATATTACTCCAAGAAAACAATAGCAATACCTTTACACAGACTTGAAACACGTAATAATTTGCAATTATGCTTAGAAAAGTAAAAAATAGCTTGGAAAAATAGATTTTGCTACAACGTGTCATAAAAGATCTATGCAAATAAAAAAATTAACAATTACACGAATTGATACAATGAAAATAGCATGACTTTTGATATAATAAAATCTCTTATTCCAACTAGAATATTTTAATTTAAATATAGTACAAATATCACACACATACACGCAATGCCAATTTAATAAAAAACATTGTGATAAATATTAATAATTATTCAATCTGTGAGTAAATTACTTATTTTATTATTAATATTATAATATTAAGAATATATTATTAATATTATTAAAAGATTTAATATTATATATATTAAATATATATTATTAATATTAAAAATATATTAATATTATAAATGATATTAATAAATAAATAATTTAAGAATAGATAATTCAAGCAATTCATAAATGGCGCTATATTACGTCGAAAGAAAATTCAGGGCCGCGTTCGAAAATCTGTCGGTCAGAGTGCAGAATTCGACCGACCAATCAGAGGCCGAGGATCTCTCCGTCCCGATTGGTCAATCGATCGCTTCACCCTAGGTGGACAAATTTTCGAACGCAGTCCCATCTAGAGTACTGCCCTCTAGTGCAACTTCGCATTATTCGCGGTGAACATTTGCGCGCCATCGCCGGTCCCCGAAAGTGTCAATATTAATTAGTAGCATCGTTAATTATCTACATCTACATCGTGAATTATCGTATAAATCCGTTCGCGATTGCACACGCGAGATTCATCTCGCCGGCCGCGAATTCCGCGTCTCACCTTCGAAGGATCACGTGACTTCGCGGCTCGAGCTTCGCCTGAAGTTCGTGAAGTTCGCGTTCGCGAGTTCACGGGGACGGATCGCGACAATTGCGCTGCGCTTTTGGCGCGAAAATTTCCGGAGTTTTTCGACGTTGTCGGTCGCGTTCCGAGCGGACATTCGCGTATTTCCGGTCGTACTTTCGCGTCATCCTGTCAAAGCGTCTTTCCGCGACAAGCAGAACTCGTAATTCTCGCCAAAATCTCGCCGACAACGAAGCCGGTCGCGCCACCATCTTGACTTTGAAATCGGAAGAAATATATTTATTTATTTTTTAATAAGTTTTTAATAATTTATTTATTTTTTATTTTATTTTATATAGTTTAATTGTCAAATATATTCAGTGAAAAGTGAAAATTAGTGAATATTCAATTCGGGAGTGTCGGCGACTTCAAAATGCGTCGCGAGGAAGTCGTCCTCGTTCGACGGGCCCTTTGACAAGTGGCCTTGGAAAAAAGCGGCGACGCGAGAAAGGAGCATCGGTTTCGTTCGCGCGCGAATATGCTCTCGCGAGTCTCGCGTTTTACCGAAACGCGTCGAAAATATGATAAATGAAATCCGGCGTCGCCGCTCGTCGCGAACGAAAACAATTGAGTAACGCGAGTGCAAGTGTGTTTCCAAGTGCTTCTTCTATACGAGGATTATTCCCGACGCAGAGGTTTGGTTTTCTGCAAAAAATGGTGCCGGGGAGGAATCCGGAAAATGCCGAGATCGGAGAATAAAATAGTCGAAATGTGAGTCGAATTTTTTATATCATTATTTATTGAGAAAGCGAGAGAAAAATCCTGTCAAAATAAACTCAATATAGCACCTTTACAATATTGTGTATTTTTATGCGTAAAACACGAATTTGTAAATTAAAATCTGGCCTCCTATCTGAAGGGGAGAGGTGGCGAAATCTACTGTAAAAATATATATTATATATAATATTATAAGTTCGGCAAAATCGGAAAGGATGAAGTCCCTCAGTATTACTCAATTAACTACAATAATTACATTAATTAATAATGTTATTACATTAATTAATAATACTTTCAATTCAAATGTTTTTTACATTCAGAATATATTTTTGTGATATTGAAATTACTTTATACGTAAAATTAAAAGGTAATATTTTGTTACACATACATCATAATTTATTATAGATACTTATTAAAGTTTTTATTTTTGTCAAAAGCAATTGAATTTTATATTTATATTTAAAATTTGATTTACAATTTTAATATAATAATAAATTTATAATAATAAATTTAACAATAAAATATAATAAATTATATCTTTTGATAAATCTCGAGAATAATAGAAAAAATTGAATTTAAATAATTTGTTAATAAAATTTCATCCCGTAGTGATTAGTATTATATTTTAATAATTCAACGCGAATCGTAATTAATGAATTCTACCAATATAAAATCGTCAAATTAAGGAATTAAAATCTCATCCGCAACGAAAGTAAGAGTCGGAATAATCTTGTTTTACATTGATTTCTTATGATATAAACGCACAGTCGACAAAGTAATGTTATCTGCAGTATCTGCAGTTATCTAAATAAAATTATATAAATAATCATCTAGATAAAACTATGGCGTCATCTTATCTTATCACATTATTTTCATATAGATAATAAAAATATGTATTATATCTATATCTGCATATCTTAGATGAAAAAAAGTATTATCTTTACTAAATTATCTAGAATAATTCTTAGATAATTTTGATTTAGAATAGTACATAAAATTACTTAAATTACTTAAATAGGAGAACTTAAGCAGTAAGCGATAAAAATTTAGAAATAAAAATATGAATACATATATATTTTTATACCCCTTTTATAATTTACATTTTTTTAATAACTGTGTTTAAACAAGCAGTCTCAAAAATTATTATCTAGATGAATCACCATATAATTTTATCTTTTATCTAGATACATTTAAAACAAAATCTTCATCTTCATCTCATTTAAGATAAATTTACATATTTTTATTTCATCTTCCATCTAGCTAATTTTAAACTCATCTAAGCACAACCCTGGTTATCCTTATATCCTAAGAATATTAATTCCTTAGCTAAGTGTTTCGCGAATATGAGCCATATGTGCGTGCGGTATTAGTAAGATAAGGGTGTAAATATCTATATGCGGCAATTTCGTTCCTCTTAAGTCTTGAGTACGACATTTTCAGAAAATCAATAGTTAGCGGCACACTTCCCCCGGTAATGTTACTTAGTTACTTTAGCCACATATCAAGTTAACATACGCGCAGTTCGGGCTTTATGTAAATAATGGGGCACACCATATTTAGGACGCGTGATATGAAGCAGGGCATTTGACGAATTTCAGCGATGTTTGAGAGGAATGGTAATTAATATTGACTCACGCGTGGCGGCATATCGCGTTTACACGATTTAATCGTGCGATGCGATTCATCTTTATTCGAAGTCACGTGCAGTTTGATAAAACTGCATTCACATTCGCATCTTAACGTTTGTTCAATTCATCTCGTATCGGGAAACTTTGCGAATTGTAACGTGCATATTGTCATGATTTTTACTCATTTCTATTCATTCATCATTTCATGATTTTTATTCATTCATAAGTTAGACGAAAAAAAAGATTCCTACACTGAAAAATAAATTATTGAATTCGAATAAATATTTATTTCAATATTGCCAAATAAATTATTTATTTGAAACTAATAATATTGATTTGATTTGAAAAATATTTATTTTATATAAGAAAATCCTTTTCAAAATAAATATTTATTTGGTAGTATTGAAACAAATATTTATTAATTTAATAATTTTTTTCAGTGCAAGAAGTCTAATGGTTTATAATATAATCTATTAAATACACACACACATATATATATATATATATATATATATACACAATTATTATTTTTTTCGCGTATAAATATATATAAATTATATATTATATATATTAGGTACATTTATTATTAAATTATATTTATTATTAATTATATCCTTTTATTAAATACAAATTATATATATATATATTAGTAATAATTTAGTAGGGAATTCCTCGGTAAATTAAAAATACACATCATACCTCGTTAAATTAATTATATAGAGCTGAAATTAGATATGGTAATTTTAAGTGTAATGTGTAATATAAGGACACTTAAAATTTAGCTAGAGTAGCTAATATTTTTTTTATGTACACTATATATATATAATAAGTACATATTTTCTCTTAATTTTTTTTCTTGTCACGAAGATATTTAACTTTGAACATTAAAGTGTTAGTCTACCGTAAAATTTTTGCGAACGAAAGTCAAGCGCAAATTCGTCAAAGGACGTGCCATTAAAGCAAAAGGCGCATTTGAGACCTTTTTACTTTTAACTTGAAGAGACCAACTTTCTTGCTGCTCCTCTCTTTAAGGAGTTACTTTTAAATCCCATTTCCGAGGTCCCCGTCTATATATATATATGTATAGTATACACTGTGCACAGGTTTAAAAAGTGCGGTTAAGAAATTTTCTTGTCAAAGCATCATGTATATATATATCTCGAGAAGCAAAAGCTCTCGAAGAAGACGGAACTTTCTGATCCGTGTTATCCTTAAATCGCATGAGCAAGTTTTATAAGCGGTTTTTTTTATTTTAATTTTTGTTTAAACACGGCATCTAACGACAACATTGCTTCGCATATTGCGAGTGCGAAATATGGAAATCAGCTTAACGGAAAAGTGAGATTCATTGCATAAGCAAACACGCGGGTGGCAGCGATATGTCTACCGGTATTCAGTATTTGAGCAACAAGTGTGCCGCGATGGAGGGGTTCAGGGAAATATGTTGCTCTTCGTGAGATAAACTTTGACATAAAATCCGCGCGCTGGATTGACGTGGGGAGTAATCGTTGTCTGGGGAAAAAACAGGATGTAAGACAATATCGCGATGAAAACAATAATACCGATAGATTTCAAACACGAGTGCACTTTAACCGCGCTAATAATAAAAATATATAAACATCTCTTACAATCTATATGTATACATTTATATTAAATTTTATATGTAGGTATTTACAATTAAAATTATATAAATTTATATTGTTTAAAATTCTAATTAATATTATAGGTATACAGAGTGTTGAAAGGAAAGGGTGAAATATTTTAAGGGAATTTAGTATATGCTCAAAAATAAGTCTAAAGATTTAATAAACATGGATCCACAAATAAACTATTTTTAAGTTATTTTTATTTTTATATATTTATATATTTATTAATTCTTTTTTTTTAATTTATTTTAAATTTATTTTAAATTTATTTTAAATTAATTTAATTTAATTTAATTTATATTAAATTTATTTAAAAAATTTTTTGTTAATTTATTTTTAGTTTAATTTATGCAAAAAATAACTACTATTTTACCTTATTTTAAAGATGCTGAAAATAATCTTTATGTGTATGATATATTGCAAATATTTAAAAAACGACTCATTTGCGGACCCATATGTTTATTAAAACTTTTTAACTTATTTCTAATTAATATTATAATTTGAATTTGAAATAATTTTCGTATAATTTTAACTCTCTACTTTTTTATGATTAAATGCTCCTCTTCCCTCGAAAAATCTTTCCCGAGATTTATTTGCTCGATATTTAATAGGAAAATATGTCGAAACTGTTGAAAAAGACGCATCGTAAAATATCCATTATATAATTATATATATTATATATATATATATATATATATATATATATATATATAATTCTACTTATAAAATTCTCATCGCAGCGGCAGATCGATCGACGCCGATAAATATTTTCGTGAAAAATAGAAACGGGATAAAAACTGTAATGAAGGATATAAAATATACAGGGTGTACCAAAACTGGCGGAAAAGTTATTATATATAAAAGCAGATTTCTGGTATCATTTGGAGACGATTTTTCCTTAGTGAAAATGTTAAGGAAGGCCATCATTTTTAGCATGTTCTCAATTTTTGTTCTTATATATATATGTATCTTTATAACTAAGTCTTATTATTAAAGTAAACCCTATTTAAAATTCACTGAAGAATGTACTTCCGTTAATATTTTATTTTCACAAGGCTTAAGTTAAATATAAAAAAAAGCATAAATACACATGCACTGAAAAAAAATTTAGTTAATTCTTATAAGTATTTATTTCAATACTGTCAAATAAATCATTTATTTGAAACTAATAATATTTATTTGATATAAGAAAATCCTTTTCAAAACAAATAAATAATTCATTTGACAGTATTGAACTAAATATGTATTAATTTAGTTTTTTTTCAATGTACGATTGAAAAATTTGCGTTAAATTTGACAGATATCACACGTCCCAAACGTCCCACAGAAATTAGTTTCCAAAAAAGTCTTTACTTTCAACCGCTTATAATTCGAAAATTATTGGTGTCTCGACATTTTCGCCGAGGAAAATTCGTCTCCGAATGACATCAGGAATCTGTCATTCAAAACTTTTCCTCCAGTTTTGGGACACCCTGTATATATATATATTTGGTCGCGAATATTTTTGCGGTCGATGAACCGGGGAAGCATCGGTTAAAGACCACGATATATATATATACGTATATACTGTCATCGGTTTTCGCGGTTTTGACGTTTAATAGACTCCTGTGTAAGAGAGCCATCCCACGCGAAACCAATCGAGGGTAGGGGGTGGGAAACTCCGCTGAGTGACAAATTAAAATTTAATGTATCGCGAAAGTGTAGCCGCAGAGACGGAACA